GAAGAACGCGTGATGCCGAACGCAAGCGAGCGAAGCGAGCTGCCGATACCAAGTTCCGTGCTCGGGAAGCCGCTGCGAAACGCCAATGCCGAGCCAAACATCTGGAAATGTGTGCTTGATACGCCGCTATGAAGCGTCAACAGCGAGCCGAGTACGTTAAAGTTCGTGTTCGAGACGCGGTGGAGAAACGTGAACGGCGAGCCGCCGATCCTCGAGTGAAGCGGCGCGCAGCTGAGTCTAAGCGGCAGCGACGACAGGCTCAACCCGCTGCCGCCCGCGCTCTGGATCGCACCACACAAGCGGATATGCAGTGTGCCTCCACCGAGTACAAGTGTCCCACAACCATTCCCGAAAGTTGCAATGCTCTCGCCTTTACTCGAAACTGGGGCGTGCGCAAGCTTCTCCAAGACCCTTCGGCGCTCCGCCCTTTCCATATAGATACTATAATATCTATAGGGAGAGGGCGTGAATGCAATCCTGCATTCACGCCTGGCGTCAGAATGCAGGATTGGGAGCACAAAGCATATAATAGCTGTGCATATATGCACAGCTATTATATGCTTTGTGCTTCTAATCCTGCATTCCTTCCCATCCTTCACAGCGCCCTTCTTCACCTTTACTTGCCTTCTATACACCCTTTCCATACTGCACTGTACACGTCTTTTTCGATGGTGGCGAAATTGCTCGATGCCCCTGCACTTAGATTTAGATGCATGTTAAAGAATCCCAAGTGGTCGAGATTTCCAGAGCCAGGGTGGGACAGAGATAAACATTTTTTAAAGCCGATAGTCTTTCTTGGGGACCTTCGATGGAAAGGTTCTGGTCTGTCTGTCTGTACATTTGTCTGTTTGTTCGCCCTTACCTATACCTCAAGCGGCATTAAACGGCCAACCCCATCCGTGGCACCCACCAATATTGCTCAAGATTCAGCGTTCCTACTTGTGCGATCGTCAATTAAAAAGCAATTATTGCGCATATCTGAGGCACCATAACAACACGTTGATGTTTTGCATGTGTGCCTTTATACTAAGTAGGCACACAGAAGTAATTCTGAGGACCGTAGTGTTTATCACGCTGCGCTGACAGTGCAACACGATGCTCAAAAAGGTAAGTGCTTCCAACGGTTTGCTAAGACAAGACGGTGGTGGCTCCTGCCCGTCGCTTTGCGTTCTACACCTTATCACCTCCGAGACGAGAGCGGATCTTTCTCCGCGAGTGCGCACGCCTTCCTTCGTTTTCAAACTGCCAGATGGCGCTCGTGTCTAACGTGCCTCGATGCACTCGTTCGGCTTCGCTAGACGCTCGAGGCACTAACGCAGCGCCTCCAGAATACGATTGACCCATTTTCTTGCGCAGATCATCAAATAAATGTTTTGTTCACTCTCTTCAGACGCAAGACTATCGTCTTTCGAAGACATATGCAGTGTAGCATGCAGATTCGGGGCCAACTTTTTTCAGCAGGTCGCTTAGGAAAGGTGCCCTCAACCCAGGGTGTTTTCAGCACTGGCCACGTCTTGGGCCCTCACGTTTGGGCAAAATGATTATGGAGATTGGAGCCCATCAGGGCTCTCTCTTAAAACTTGTGGGTGTAGCTAAGGTTCGAGAATTTGAATGGCTTTGCTCTGCAGTCCCCTACGATACGTTGTAAGAACCCAGGTGCTCCACCGACATGGCATCGCACAAAAAAGCAGCACACTACTCAGCTCGGCTACATGCCATGGCACAGCATGAAGACTGAAGTGGATGCATCTTAGAATCCTTAAATATTTCTCAAATATTTATCTCAAAGAGTTACCTCTTGTCCCTTAACTTTCCTTTTCATGCCAGTTTGATGCTCCAGCACCTACCATAACGGGAAATCAATTCAGTGCTAAATTGATCATTACTAAAAATAACTCCTTATTTTAAAGTACTATAGTGATAAATTCAATGAGTTACTTTGTTAATTAAGCCTTAAACATGTTCTGATCTTCAGCTTGCACGCTGGGGCGAAACTTGAAAAATGACGCCTAACTTCTTGCCATATATTTGAACAAGTGGCGCCCTTCTTTGTCCTACAGCAGCATATAGGTTCGAATTAAGAACTTTGTAGTCTCAGACGTACCATGTACGTCGGCAATTACGAGAGAGTTTGGGGCAACAAAAAAGTGCATTGGGTGTACTTCACACGCGCATAAAACTCCGGTGTAATCTTGTGCCTCAAAAAGTAGATGGTGTTTCGGCAAAGGTTTCTTTTTAAATGCGAAGCATTTCTTGGTGAACTTCGGCGACTTTGAGCGTATCTATCTATCTATCTATCTATCTATCTATCTATCTATCTATCTATCTAACTATCTATCTATCTATCTATCTATCTATCCAAGCGCTTACAACTTTTAGCTCTGCTGGCCGTTTAAATAAGTGTATCGATACAAAACTTGGTATGGTATAACGTTACTGCATGGTGAGTGTAAGTGGCCAGTCATAACACGAAAATCATGAAATGTATGTCATGAAAGTCATAATTTACATTTCATGGTTTTGCTGCTCTCGCGGTGGTTTCGTTCACAAGACATGTTTCAAGACTGGTATGGTATGACACGATTGCATGGTAAACACTAGCGACAGGCCCTAACGTATAAATTATGACATGCAAGTCATGTAAGTCATTAGTCATGACTACACGTTACGCTCATGGGACGCTCGTGGTCGTTTCGCTAGCTTCACATATACCAAATTTGGTATTACAGGACGTGAATGCATGACGAAGGCATGTATCTGGAGCAAACATGACAATCATGAGATGCGTGTCATGTAACAACATGACTATATGCCACGCTGATGATGCGCTCGCAGCCGTTTCGCTAGCTTCACATATACCAAGTTTGGTATTACGGGATGTGAATGTATGACGAACGTATGTGACTGGTGCAAACATGATAATCATCAGGTGCGTGTCATGTAACAACATGACTACATGTCACACTCAAGGCACCAATACACTTTGACGGGACCTGGCAAGCGTGCGGGCCGGCGTTCGTTTCGTCGCGTCACGACAGCGATGCCACGTCAGGCGCCAATCTGCCTGCCATAAGGCGCGCGTCGCGCTGCGTTGTTAGACGCATGGGCGTTTGAGCGCTGCCGGCCTCCCTCCGTCACGAAGATAGACAGACGAAGTGCTGTCTGTGTAACGCCAATGGCGCGAAATGCACCGCGTCGCATTTCGTGACGGTTGCCGCCGGGCCGCGCCGTCTGACGCTGGTCGCGCCAGTCACGCCAGGTGTCAGACTATGAGACTAGGAGTAGTGCTCGCGTTTTGCTATAGCGCAGCGTCGCTTTGCCCAGCGTGCACGCGCATCAACGTTACGTCGGAATGTTTTCGCCATTCATGGTGCGCTCGTGGTCGTTTCGCTAGCTACACATATACCTAATTTGTTATCAGGTGACTTGAATAGATGACGAAGGTAATTGACACGTTCAAACTTGATTATCATGACAATGAAGTCATGTACGGCACAATTTACCTCCGCCTCGTAACGTTGTGGTGATTTTAAAGTGACATATCAGCCCTCCTCATTCGTGCTTCCCATATTATAGATTACCACTTTACGTGGGATCTGCCTATTTTTTGCTATTGTGTTGTTTTCAAATATGAATGAAACAGCAAAAGCTCCGGTTACATTTATTGTCCTGCCAATATTCGGTGAGCTTTTGGGTATATTTCTTCGACGTATGCTCTGCCTTGTGATAAACGCACACTCTTATTGACTCCAAGCTGAAATGCCATCTTTTTATACTCACCAAGTAACTGTATTAAGCTTAACCAATAGAGATTGTGAAGATATCAGTATTTACGCTAAATATACAACGAGCATATTTGTTCGATATAGACGGCATTGTTTGCAAAAAAAGTCATGCAAGAAGTAAGCAAGCGTTCATCTGCTTGCACGCATGAGATGTGCACATTGTGAACAGAAAAGAGGACCCTTTTACACGCTTCCTTGACATACATTCTTCTTCGAGTCAAGCTAATAATAAGTAATAAGTAATAGTAACTGAAGTATTGATTCATCTGTAAGGTTTAACGTCCCAAAACGACCGTGCGATCACGAGAGACGCCGTAGAGGAGGACTCCGAAAATTTCCACCACCTGGGGTTCTTTAACGTGCACCCATATCTGAGCACACGGGCCTACAACATTTCCGCCTCCATCGGAAATGCAGCCGCCACCGCCGGAATTCAATCCCGCGACTTGCGGAATAATACCGAGGTAAAGTGTGGGATTGAGCCAGCTGGTAATCCGTCATTGAACTTCTCAGCGCAAAAATTTCAAACAAGGAACACAAGAGACGAGGACGAGCGCAGTACTCGTTTCTTGTGTTCCTTCTCTGATATTTTTGTGCTGAGAAGTTTAATAACTATAGTCATAATGTCTGCAATTCGCCATTTCTTAACTAGACATGTTTGCGAGGGGACGGTGGAGTGGGGTGCTCTGAAAAAAAAATTCTGCCATCTGGTGTTCATAACCATGCACTGATATCGCACAGGACTCGGGCCTCCGGCGTTTCTCCTCCATCTAAACGGGACGACCATGGCCGTGATCAAAGTAATGAAGCACAGTAACGGCCCCATCATGGCGGACACGTCGGAAAAGAAGCAGTACCCGCCAGAGACACGTGCACGTCAAGATAAGGCGGGAAAGAGGCGGCGTGACGCACCCATATTGACACCACATTCGTCGGTCTACGGGCGCGAAACGAGAAAAAACACGGGCCCTCAGGATGTCGAACGAGACACGTGCGGGCCTCCAGCTTCCTTGAACAAGAGGTCAGCGAACTGAACAAAGTATGAGTGAACACGCGGGTCTTTTATCTCACAATTTACGCGCAAGGCGGAAGTATAGACACACATACAAAACGAAGCCGAAGTTTCGTAAGACAGTAGCACCATAAGTGTGGGTGGCCACGTGAGTGCTTCCCCAGTGCATCACGACATACGTTGGCCGTTTCGTCAGAAGGGCAACTGTGGTGCTTGCACAAATCGCGCTCTGCTCTGAAAATCGTGTACAAGGTGGGCAATCGCTTCGCTCTAATTTATCTCTTATGGACATTCACATGATGCGGCTGCTGTAACTAGGAGTTACGTCATTCAACGAGAAATGACCCAGCCATTCTGGCGAACGTCTCAAATACGTTCAAAAAAAAACATTCTACTTAATTTTTGCACGGAGAACAGCGAACTTTTAGAATATTTCGGAGTTAAACGCTTTCGGTAATGTGGGGGCCTTTCGTATTTCACCGAGTGTCACCCGAGTGTCGTTTGTCAGAAAATTTATTTTGGCAGTATTGTCTTTTTTTCAGTACCAAATTTGTTTCACGCATTAAGCAAAGGCATCTGTATGACACTGCAAGATTAAGTGATATACATTTCTAGAAATTTTGTCAAAATTATCGATATTAATGACAATTTAATACTGCGCTATGTATTGACGTCTCAGTAATGAATACTTACTAATGAGAAGATACGTTTTTTGTATTTTTCTAGAACAAAGGGGCAGTTTTAGAAAAACATCATATTAAACCCTACTGAAACTTGGTTTCGAGCACATCGTGCTTTAACTAAAGATCACCCTTACACCTCAATCGAAAACAAATATCTCGTTTTTCTTATGCAGCAAGTTATATTGTTAAGATTTTTAACTATTACCATGGATAGTGTAAAACTTTATGAAGAGTATATAAAAGTGTTAACGTGCGCTTTTTTTGTCTCCTGTCTTTCCAATAGTTAGTTCGTTTGGTTTTCCTTACTAGTGTCAAGTTTGATTTACTTTATATTGTGATCCTTTCCTATTCTGATCACGAGGCTTGTGATTCTCTGTTTTGGTTGTCATTACTGATGTCTACTTTGGTTTGGGGGATCAAACCCGGGTCATTTGCATGGTCCACTTTCATTTATTGTACGAACATTGTACTCTCATGTGTACCTTCGACTCACTTCTTGTTATGGCTAGTGAAAAACTGACAGCATTTGTCAAATGAGAAAAGAATAAGATTTTCAAGATTTACCCACTGACGGCTCCTGGCCCTTTGGTAATGCGGCAGAATCCTACTTGACGTTCCCTGTTGCCTTCAGTAATTTTGCAAATTTGCATGTTCAGCATCGCAGCTTCAACATATAATTTGTACTGTTTTGGCAGTAGCATAGCTGAATGCTATAAATAGTCCGATATTATCCCGAACATAAACTGCAAAGTCTTTCTTTGACATGCCATCATCATCATGGCGCCTAGTCTTATCAGCAAACCCTTTCTAAAAGTTATCTCCATATGCGAGAATTAAGATATACATTGACTCGGAAAAGACGTTTCTTCTTTGGTACATACCTGATCGAAGAAATAATGAGCGTAAATTACTAATCTTGAAAGCTCACCTGAATGTTGTGAACAAGACTTTTATTCTCCTCGCTACAAAATAATGAGCATCATCACAAACAAAATACAGCGCAAAACATTTCTGGACAATATATAAGCATGTTCACTTCCCATATTTCAAAATGTTTTGCTGTTTCAGTAATTTAGATACAGTGATTAGCCGCTAAATGCGCAGAAGTTGTCGATTCATGCAACCTATTGAACCCGTCTTGTGGCTGCCGAAGACATTTTGTACAGCCACCATGGTAACTTATCAGGTGTACTGTGTGGTGCGTCTAAGCTTGAGGTCACCGGTCCGATTACCGACCACGTCAGTTGCATTGTGATAGGCGCGAAAGGTGAGAACATCTTTGTATTTAAAATTACCTGCAAGCGAAAGAGCCCTGCGCAGCGTAAAGCACCTCCTGTGTCAAACCTACGACGTGCTTTATAATCATGCCACCTTTTTGGCACACAGAACATCGCAACGTAGGTAAATAATCGAGAGGTTTACAAGCTTCTTTTCACAAATTTCTTCACGAGAATCACTGTACTTTCAATATTATTCCACTCATACGCAGACTTGTAATGCTCAAAAACGTCTAGAGAAATATGCTCCATGTGCGTTGTCGTAGTAGGGATGTACACATTTATTATAATTTCGGTTTGATAGCTGCACAAGAATATTTGGTGAAATCAACGATGACGAAAACTTGTCTTCCAATTTCATCCTGTAAATAGCGTGATAATAAAGAATCACGCTGATTTTTAAGCTGTCATATAGCTCTTGTGCAATCATAAACAACTACTTAATCTGCAGGGCACCTCCCTTGAAGCGACGCTGATTTTTTTTTGCCATATTAGTCCATTACAATTTCAGAACTCCAATACCACCCTTGTTACCGCGGGATGTCACTCAACGACAAAACGCGTGAAAGGAAAATGTTGGCGGAGACGCCACCCTGAAGTTTCCACACCAAACACCGTGATGTCATAGTTTCTGATGACGTCTGTTAAGTTTGACGTACAGGTACTAATCGGTAAAAACGAAATGGATTGACACGCGTGTGAGCCATAGACTTAATATGGCGAATTTCCAAAGACGTCGTCGAAGTAATCTCGCAAAAATACGAAAAACACATTTTGAAATCAATGACGACACGTGCGAAGATTTTGGCTTAAAGTTTAAAGAAACGAAGCCTTGGCTTTTGTTTCGAATAATAAACATATCAGGGTGACCATAGCGCCCTTTAATCTTCTACTAAGCTTATGCATTGAAGACTTTAGGTACTTTCATTGTAATATCAGTGCTAGTGAATGTACAAATTACAGAAATAGGTCTGAAGAGGCACTAATCAATTCTTCCTGTGCACTGTCCATTTTTTACCACTACTAACGTGCTATACTGCAACGCCAAAAACCAGGTAGCCTAGCTTCTTGCTTGAACCACTTTCGGTAACCTGAAACGTAAATAACATTATTTTCATGAACGCCAAAGGCATTGTTTGGTTTGCAGTCACTTAAAAGTAAACTGTACTTAACAATGACGTGCAGTGATTTTTCTCTCTTCTTCGCAGGCAATGGAATGTCCTACAGCCATCCTTGTTATTCTGGCGGGAGCCCAGATTATTTCGGCTCAAGGTGCAGGTATGCACCGATGTAGTGCTTGGTGGATCATGCTACACGACCTTTGTTGATCTTAGGCTCGCAAATGTACTCTTTCACATATGCACCTTAACCCGTTATCTTTTGGAGGGGATAATCTATTTATTCATCTTGCTGCTGCCCTGTTTTCTCGGGTTTCGACGTGGTAAACGATATTGTGGCAGTAATCGATTTTTCATCTATCATTCAAGCACAATCTTTCACGTGTTATTCTAGTTGCCACATATACAGTGTCTATCATCAGTCTATCATATACATATACATTGTCTACCAGTGTCTATCACTAAGTAAAATGTTATTTAAAATATGTATGTTAAATTAGTATGTGAGCTGATAACACAACTATGTCAATATAGACCTGGTCATTGGACGCAGTCATACTGCCACGCTCCTTGAACAGAAATCACTCAGCTCTGGTAGAAGTATTGCTTTGTAAATCTTTCCAATTATGTGAGGAAAGTTTACTTGTTCAAACAACATTTTGATACTCTTAACAAGTCACGCAATTGTTGTTCACAATAAGCAATAGTATTACTGCAGTTACATATGCACTAAACAGACTTGACTGTACTTTGCAAGGAATGCTCTGCAACGCTTTTTTTTTAGACTTTTGGTAAACAGGGTACGATGTTTTTTTTATTTTGCTCTGTTATATTTTCAAACGTTGTTACTTCCAAACGTTAAAATCGTTCCACGCTATTGGTCAATTTGTACTAGAAAAAAAATTAAGAAGGAAGAATTCTTGAATGAATCTTGCAATGCGTTTACCGGAGCTACTGAAGCGACTCTTCGAATTCTCGCAGCTCTTATCGTACGTGTAGCTGTATTTTATGAGCGATTACAATGGCAGTACAAAATCAAAAGTTGTACGTGCAGTGCGCATGCCTTGAATTTGGGAGACACGCTGTCATTGAGAGCAGCGGCGTCGTTTCACTAATCTGTACCTTCCCCAGTGCAGGCCACGAAACCACTTTTTTTTTTTCTAGTTCACCTCCCTGCTTTTCACCTAATCTTTCTCTTTCTCTCTCTGTACCTGTGCTCTCTTCCGGATTTTACTGTACAGTGATAGTTCGGGTGAAGCGGCAGCGCCGTTGGAAAGGTGCCTCTGAGGCGCTAGGTTCTATTTGCACGAGTCGAGGCTACGCTGGGCGATAATTAAGCTATTACACTTCCTGTAGTCGCTGTTTCCCTGTGTGATCACCGATCTCGCGCAAGGCGCTGCTACTTCCATCCCTGGGTATGGACATTCTCTTTTCACTGCTGCTCTCCTTGTGACTTGTGACATGCGGTGGTCGTGCTGGACTCGTGAAGTGTAAACTATTCTAAAGGCACGTGTTTGAGAAGCGCGCCACGTTTACCTCACGTCGTCGAGATGTTAAGAAAGGTGGTCATGTTGCTAAAGCAGCGGATTAATCAGCGCCTCACTCGAAATCAGCGATCAGGCAGGGAAACGACCGAATATAAGACACGCATGGTGGTCCTGCGAAGCTTCAACGCATGCACAGTGTCTGCTAGCGGCCCAGATTCAGCTTTCTAACGGCCCCTGCAGCATCCCACGAAATTGTGTGCTTCCCTGCACACTAATGCGAACATGTATTGGCAGTTTCACGTGCCAGCAACTCCAGCAAGTCAATGCCAGCAGGTCTACTGCCACCAGCTATAGTATATCCTGTTGAGTATTCCTTTCAGTGTCTTTGTGTTGAAAACTGCTTACACGCAAAGACTTCTATACAGGTGGTTATCGAACCTTGGTTCCATAAAGGAAACATATCGGTTGCTCGATCATCTCAGTCAATATTCTTTCATCGTTTCAGTAACAATTCACTTATTTCGTACTTTTTTTTCTCTAGCAAAGTGCAAGCTTCCACTGGATGAAGGCCGGTGCGACGAAAAGCTCCAGCGTTTGTTCTTCAATGCCACTTCTGGCTTTTGCGAATTGTTCACCTACAATGGCTGTGGTGGCAACGAAAACAACTTCGTCACTTACCAAGAATGCATCGACTGAATGTCAAAGTCAGTACCTGATTTTTCTTTCGGTAACGCGAGTAATGTCAATGTGACACGAATAGCATGAAAACAGAAGCTATCCCACGCATTCATTTTCACGAATAAGATCAAAAGCAATGCTGCAGTACTAATAAGACCATCAAGCCAAAGAACTTTTATGAGACATTATTTGCAGTTGTGTGTTATGAATTTGGATAAATTAAAATGAACAAAAAAATAACTTGCCATCGCTAGCGTGTCAGTACTCGTGAATGCAGAGTCTAGCAACGTAATGAGCACTGGATTTCAAATTGATTGATTGATATGAGGTGTTCAACGTCCCAAAATCACCATATTGTTACGAATAAGACACCACGCCGTATCGACGAGGCTGTGGAAGAGATTTACTTAAAACAAGCAGTAATTGCGTGACCGGTTCACCAGCGAACGAGCGGAGAGCACCTTTCTTCCTCTTCGTCAGGCACACACGCGCATTGTCCCACAAAATATAAACATGCGTGTAGCAATATGAACACTTCATTTTCTACTTATTTCCTTCATTCATCGTAAGGTTCTCGTTCTGGCACACTTGACCACCCGCCGTAATGGCCTAGTGGCTAAGGTACTCGGCTGCTGACCCACAGGTCACAGGATCGAATATAGGCTGCAGCGCCTGCACTTTAGATGGAGGCGTAAATGCTGTGGGCCTGTGGGCTCAGATTTTGGTACACGCTAAAGAACCCCAGATGGTCAGAATTTCCGGAGCCCTCCACTACGGCATCTCTCATAATCATATGGTTGTTTTGGGACGTTAAGCGCCACATTTCAATCATCAATCAGACTTCATGTTTCCAGGTGATATGTGAGGAATTATTCGTGAGTGTTAGCTTGTAAGAAGATCGCACGTTACCTGGCGCCAAATAGCAGAAAACGTGTGTTCCACCCTCGCCATCATGGCTCCACGCGGCGCTGACCTCCTAAGTCTAAATCTACAAACATACAAGATAAACTGGCTGACAGGTGGCTGAACCTGAATTGGTAGAGCGCTGCACGCGTGATTCGAAGGTTACAGAACGAGCCCTTGATATTCCCCTTCCTTTGTTCATACTGGAATAATATAACTCATGAGGTACAGCAGTGATTGATACATGTGCCACATCGCATCATGTATGTGCTCTTCACTCAGAACGGCTCAGTATTTTTCACACCAATCATTGCAGCTGCTTCAATGTCCTCTCAAGGAGATACAGCATCTATTGTCGAACTTTTCGGTAGCTGTACTGTCAATAAAACTTGATATATTACTAAGCCTGTACTGTCTATAAAAGCATATCTTGCTCTTCAGTTCTGTGAAATCCATCCCAGCGGATGATTGACTGGTGTCTGTGTGTGATGGCGAAACATTACTTTCGCAGTGGAATTTGCGAATGTTCCGAGTGCTACCAACGTTCGCAGACCCCTGTCGCGATCCTCTCGGCCCAGAAAGGTGCAAAGAAGGAGTCGAAAACCGTTATTACTACGACGTGGATGCGGGCCACTGCAAGGAAACAGGGTTCGGCTTCTGTTCGGGTCACTGGGACAGCTTCATCGGTCTCGAGGAATGCAAAACGCGCTGCGAAAGTGAGCCCGTCTTTCCAATTGTTATATTACGTTAGCCATGAAGTTACGGTGGGACTTAATATTTTTTTCACGAAAAAGGTGAAGCCAGCGTTTACGCAGAGAGATCAAGTCACTTCGCTTTGTCAGCAAACTACATTGTATTACGATAATGCCTAAGAAACAAATCAAGTGTATATGACAAAAAGAAAGGAGACAATGTAAGCGGAGAATGTATATTTTGTAGCTCTTATTTGTAACTCATTAAGAGTTACGTAAATGTAAATTATTTATGCAAACGAAAATAAAACTTACCACCCATTGGGTGACAATCAGCAACTTTAAAGATCCGCGTATGATGACCTGTCTATTCAGATACGTCAGTGATCAGGAAGCTCGCAGCGGTCCACTCTTTTGTTCTAAACAGTCTCAAAAGACAGCATTAAACAAATCCACAATCGAAGTTCGCAAGCACGAAGACTAGGGAAAGTCGTGTACTACCCATCATTCCAATGGTGGCTTATGATCACCGCGCCACCATTTCCTTTAGTTAATTTGAGTAAACTCTATCACATTCTAATATAATTTCAAACGACGGAACATTATCATCCTCGCGACGCAGTTGAGACGTCCACCGAGGGACGAAGAAGCGTGGCTGGCGAATGAAAAAGCGTGTCGAATTAACCCCGAAAAGACTATCGCCTTTCAAATTTGAAAGAGAAGTTCAAGATTCCTTGATCTTTTTTTTTAATGTGCGGGCTACATTAATTTTTTGTAGCGCTATTTTGCAACCACCTGTAATGAATACGGTGTTTTGACTCCTGTATATAATGTTAGCTGTTTGAAAATAATGCGATATCTCACATAGAATGGTCACTGTACATAGACCAAAAATTGCGTAAACGCTTCAGGAAGGGGGGGGGGTGGAGGGGGAGAACACGTGTTTTGGTGAAAAATAGAGTATGAAGGAAGAATTTTTTGTGGAATGAAAGCGCATAAATCGAAGCCACTTTTTATATTCATCTTTCAAAAAAACGGGCCAGTTCTTTAGCCTGCGAAAAATCAAGACACCTGCTGAAGTGATTGCATCATGTCACCCCTAGGCTTCGCGTTTTCTACACATAGCTTTTTCCTCCTTACAGACGTTTGTACAAGACCGATGGATCCAGGTGTTTGCCACTTAAAACAGCGCCGGTTCTACTACAACCGAGAAGAAAACCGTTGCCTACCGTTCATCTACACAGGTTGCCGTGGAAACGGCAACCGATTCCACACACAAGCCATGTGCCACAAGATGTGCCGTCGTAAGCGCCTACATATGTGTTCATCTTCTAATTTCTGCTTATTGTCTATAAAAAGTACCCAGCTTGCTTTTCTTTTTCCTCCCGACACACGAGTATTGGGCACTTCTGATGTGCTTTCAGTTAACAGTTATGAAAAGCAAACAAAAAAAAAAGATTGTTTGAAACAGGATATACGGTATTGATAAGCTAAGGCTCTAAACTATAGGTCTGACCGTCTAACAAAATGTTACGTGAGTTCTGAAGTTCTGCATAATCTACTGGTATATTTTTCGATGGACGTCTGACAAGCTGGGCAAAACAATTTTGGGTATCCCTCTTAATGAGCTTATTAAACAAAAACACTCTCCCTACGTGTTCAGGTCAATGCGGCGTTCTAATCGGGGCTGACTGCCCAGCAATAAGCCAGAGAAAGCTTTCTTAGGCGTTTTTAATTTGTTTTTCCTTCTACTGTGAGGATCACTACTACACCATCTCGTCCTTTGAGTGTGAAACCCGTCAAATACCGCCTTAGAGCGCTGTTTTGTTTGTAATATCCGATAGTCAACCATAATGAAGAGGTCAAATAGGCCTCTAATCACTGTATCAGTTTTTTTGTTTTATTTTTAAGGCAAGCTTCGCTTGAGGGTGATGTTTCCATACTCCTGCCTCAGATTTTTTGCTCAGTGAGGGAAAAGGTAACAAGGAATTTTTTTAGGTCATAACTAACAACGTGGAATTCGCACGCCCCTGTAAAAGCGTGTTTCCTGGTACAGTGTGTAGGTACTAGGCAGACATTTAGTTCCCCAGTTTTCGAATAACTTTGCAAATTACACCATGCGCTATATACGAATGTTTCACAAACACCTTCATTTCATTATTCCAATTTCAGGGGGTTGCGACTGATTTCGCTTTCCAAAAGTTGCCAAGACACTGGAACTACCACAAGAACTGTGCAAGGATAATTCAGCAAGTGCCCTGTGACCTCAAATTGTGCCCTCAGACAGGCAAACGCTGAGAGGCTGCACCAAAGACCACTGACCACGTCTTCAGCCTGAGAACTGCGTAGACACATGACAAATGATAAAGTAACTAAAGAGAACCAAAGCTTGAGGATGCATAGCTAGCATTCCAGTATTATTAAATATATCATTTAAATGTCATAAAAGACTAATATATGTCATTATGATAGATAAAGTAGCACGACTTATTCATATTGCCACGACATAGTGCCTGCATTCAAACAACGCGCCCATCACCCCGCGCACAGGGACATACATGCGCGCCGTCTAGTGTTGCGCAGAGACGATGATGATAGCACGAGAACCCAGCTGGCCCCTGCTGATGTGCGCCACGCGCTTGGGACTCTTCTTGAAGAAGCAGAAGACATCTTTGGTGTTCTGCTGTAACGTGCTACGACCATAGTCCCTTTGAGTTGTGGCCACAGGTTCGCCCTTTAATAAATACGTTTTATTACACCCCGAGTCCTTCAACATCGTTACAATATTGTGAAAATTGCGAGAGAGATGAGGTAAACTTGGAAGTCGAAGCGTTGATGGTCGGCACGTTTAAAACTGGTTTTCCCTTCTTGACGACAGGTGCTTTGCAAACATTCCACTTGTTCATCATCCCAAGCTTTCAAAAGCGCTATTCATTGCACGTTACCAAAGAGTAATATAGCATACTTGAGAGTTGTCTTGCGACTATGTTAGTGTCGCTCCCTGATGTTCTAAAAAATAAAACTTATATATATTTTTTTTCATTCGTCCCGATAAAAAAACTTTCGGCGCGTATCCAAGTTCTCAGGCGAAAGCACAAGAATTAGGTTTCCCAAATATACTTCTTGAAGCGGGTTCCCACAACCGGCATTTCTGGCAGCAGCCTCTAGCGCCACAAACAATTAATTTAAATAAATACGAAGTCTTTGCTACATCATTGCTAAAAAAACATACTGTATTTTTTTTAATGTGAAGCATTTCTTAGCGAACTTCGGCGACTTTGACCGTATCTATCTA